TTTATATATATAATCACTTTAAATCTATAAGAAAACATCTCTACTGTGTCTCCAGAGTAGCTACGACATGTTGGAAAATGTATAAGTCCCATGTAACCAGTGTTGGGCAAATTACATAAAAGATGTTATTCATTTCTACTTATTAGCTAACACTAACTGAAATAAAGAAATTGTATTACTTTCTTTATACGGAAACTTAATTCATGTCTGTATTATGTAGCCTACCCTGGCAGTGCTTGTACTGTAGGAAGCACTACATATACCCCATGCAACTTGAACACATCATGTCCTTGTGATTCAAGTCATGTTTGGTTTTTCAATATTTAATCAAGGCCACAATCTTCATCTTAAACAGGCTATATTTAGCTTTTTAGCCGCGTCCCTCGGTTGTAGTGTGTTATATAGGTGTTTTTTGCATGTAAAAGGTCGGAAAATGCACACCCCTTTTCAGGTGTGTGAGTGCCTAAACATTACCATAACAAAGTTCTCGTTCTATAGCTGCTAGGAGTGGAGATTATTAGGAAATTCGTTGTCAGCACAAACAATGAACATTTCCTTGTTTTGTTGATAAAAAACGCAATCCACGCAGCATTGCAAATCTGCTGTTACAAATTGTAAGTATATGAATGTAATTTATGGAAGACAGAGTTGCTAGCCAACACCACATGTTACAAGTCCTTAAATATCCTTACCCGGAGTATTTTGCCAACTTCATTTTTGCCATGTTATTTATTCTGCAGGGAGAATATTTTTACATTTCTCAATAGGTGATACATTGCCTGATCATGTAGTTATAGATGAATGATACAAGTGTGAATATAATCTATGCTATGTGAATGCTGAAGTAGCATCTCCTTTTTCTTCTATGACAGTAAAGAGAAAGTAGCTGCCCTTGAATTTTTCCTTCGTGCTGGCCCATCTATCGGTTTTTGGGGGTTTATAAGGATGTGTACTTTTCACATGCTTGGCTGACAAGTTGCTCTCATTACCTGCAAAAATCCAATCAGCTGCACATTTTGAGCTGTACCCTGTTGTAGTGGCTTGTGTTCTCCATTTGTAAATTGCAGTGTATGACGGATATACTTTTCTGCCTCAATGAAGCTAGCATTAATAAAGGCCAGTTCTCGGTTCCATTCATGTTCAGCCTTGATTGACATTTTTATTCTCTTTGCAGCTCATGCACCCAGCCTTAACAACAAACTATTTTTAGGTTTATATGAACATTTCTAGGTTTATTTAGATGTCAGGAGTCTGTTTCATATCATCCTGTGCAAAGGGGAAACTTAATTAGAGACAGCACAAGGAGGAAATGAAACCCAATATGGGTAGCCATGAAGAAACAGAAACTGCAGGCAGATGCTGGAAGGGGAGCAGAGAATGAGCAGGGAGGCTGAATGGCCATCCCCAGGTCCGCTGGTGCCTCAGCTGATCCTGGATGTAACAACTTAAAAATACACCAATCAGCCATAACATTATGACCACCTGGGCACCCCATATGTGATGCACTGTGTGTTCTGACACCTTTCTATCAGAACCAGTTTGACCTACAGTAGCTCGTCTGTTGGATCGGACCACACAGGCCTTCACTCCCCACATACACCAATGAGCCTTGGCTGCCCATGACCCTGTCTCCGGTTCATATACTGATACAGATACTGACCGCTGCAGACCAGGAAAACCACACAAGAGCTGAAATTTTGGATATGCACTGACCCAGTCGTCTAGCCATCACAATTTGGCCCTTGTCAAACTCGTTTAAATCCTTACGTTTGCCCATTTCCTGCTACTAACACTACTAATCAACTTAAGGACAAAATGTTCACTTGGTGCCTAATATATCCCACCCACTGACAGGTGCCATGATAATCACATAATCAGTGTTATAAGATTATAAGAGCCATAAAATTCTGACCACTGACAGGTGTCACTTCACCTGTCATGGCTGATCGGTGTATAATATGTAACATTTCTGCAGGAAAATGTCTAAAAATGCTAGACCTATGTTATGTGTTTTGTTGAGTTGTGTACTTAAATTATAAAGGTTTCCAACAATGTTCACACTCATTTTATTCAGGTAATGGTCAGTTTCATGGGTCGCCTGTCAATGCTGTCCTATCCCTTTGTGTATGCGCTGTGGTTGTCTGACAGAAGCTGTCAGAAATTGACTTTTTATCCAGTTTAAAGCCATGTTTTTACAATAAACTTTTTAGCTCTTGGTAGTTTTTCACTCTATATTTTAACCGGATCGATGAAGGATTAGTCATCGGACGTCTGGATCTTAAGTTATCAGAAAAACAAGCTGAGCAAATCTCAGCAGCAGCTCAGCCAGTAGGCCCTCCAGGACGTCCTTTGTCTGCCGAACAGCATTGGAGAAACACTGATTTATATTTATTCACGATATCACCAAACTTTGTCTTTTCTTACTGTTTTGATGTGAGAGACCCAGTCAGTCAACACTTTGATACAAATATAAGTAATAATTAAGATGGAATAACCTAAAATACAGTCATCAAGATGTAACTAGGATAATGTTAAGTCTAAGTTTATTTGCCATATGGACCTGTTTAGTTAGACAATAACTTTTGGGCAGCACTGTGTATATGTTGCCTTGCAGGTTCTGGAAAAATAAACAGAGAACATATTCTATATCCCAACGACTGTACTGCAGTAGCAACAGCATGTTTAAGTCTTTCATGTATTCTACACAGAGGTGACAACAGGCTAACATTGAATAACTGAACCGAGCTAAAAAGTAAGTAGAGTAAACGTAATAAGTAAATGCTTAAACCTTTCATGGGATAGCAAAATGGGTATCCATTATACATGAATATGAGAGAGAGAGTACAAAAATGAAAGGGATAGTCTGGCATTCTGATCAAATACGCTTTCCAAAAGAAATCTAAAGCTGGCTCCAGATCCAAAGTTTACGCACAGACAGGCATATTGTATCAATCTTCTCATCTAACTCTTGGCAAGAAAGGGAATAAGCGTATTTCCAAATCTTTGTGTTATCACGTTTGTGTTTTAGTATTCGTATACATTTTGCATTTTTCTTAGTATAGTTTCTCCTTCACACAGCCTGTTCTCATTCCAAGGTCGTCCAGTACAAACTTGAGCGGTGTTCGATTAGGTGCAATCTGCAACTTCACTACTTGGTGAGACTAAATCCTACACACTGGTCCTTTAATGTTTGTGGTTTTGGTCTTTTAAGTGTTTTTTTTCTCAGGGGCCACTGTAGTTTTTGCATTCTTGGCATTCTAGTGATTGTGACAGTGATACTGATGTGACAAAGTCTGTTCTGAAGAAGTGCAGTATTCAGTAAGTTAATCCTTCAGTAGTTTAGCAGTGATTCAGTTCCATCCCAGTATTATTGTAGTATTTTAGTATTTTAGTATGCAGCATTTTTTTCTTACTTCCTCATAAACAACAAAAAGAAAGACACAAAACAAGTTTTTTTTTTTACTCTTACCTTGAGCGTAGAAAAATAATATATTTCTATTTAGGGACAGCACAGTCATTCATTGTATAAAAAAATGTGAGACCTTCAGTTATTTCTACTATCTTTGGGTCTAAAATCTTGCTCCTTGCACTCCTATTCTTTTTATTTTTGTGTCTCACTTCAAAAGTAACCTGTGAACTGCAGCCAGTTGTTTTTTTAAATTCAGATGGCAGAGGTGGAGGATGAGGCAGCGACAGAAAATACTATTAAAAATAATGTATGGCTCCATTTGTCCTACCTTAGTCTTTGGAAATGCTCCTCTCTTTTGTCTTCACCTTCATTAATTCACCAACTCTGATAAGTGAAGGAAGGAGTGAAACAAGAGAGAAAGGACATTGCTCAAAGAGAACAGAGAGTCAGCTTTCCCCACGTCCACCACTACAGTACACCAGAGACAGGGAGGTAAACAACTTTCAACACATAAATATTTAAATGTTTCATTAGATGCTGTCTCGTGAGGAGACTAAGGAGAGTTTGGGGATTCAGCTCCAGCAGCAGTCGCAAAGTCAAACCCAGTCAAAGACAAATCCATTCTGTCAATAAGAAAAAGGTGCTTTTGGAGGTAGTGAATTATACACATGAATATGTAAATGAATTATATATGTATGCCTAGAATGAGGTATCAATATCTCTTGAAATATGCATGTTTAACAAGTGATTGGCTATACATCGCTTAAGGGCACAAGTAGACATGTAAGTGATTATCAAGAAATTGTAAGTCATGCATTGGTGTCTGTATATATCTTATATATCATGCTCCCATTTACTATGTGTATTATGTGATGACTTTTGCAATAAAATGACGGAAAATCAAGTTTTCAGTGAAAAAGCCCCACCTTGTGCTACCTGCTCAACACCAAGCAGCAGACAGACACAGGCAGAGACTAGCTGGTGAATAGTGGAGCATTTAGCAGCTAACGAGTCAGATATTTCCCCCAGGATTCAGTAGAGACCAAAAATAGTGTTAAAACAGGAGTGACTATTGGATCTCATCAGCCAAAACACAACTCTGAATGAATGCTAATATTGCTTCGTAACTGCTGGATGTGTAAATAAGCAACTATTTCCTAACAAGTTCGTTGTATCAGCTTAAAGGGTCATATGTTAATGTGGTGTTTACAACCTGTTTTTGCTGCCCCCAAATGGCACTTATTGCTGGTTATCATGGACTGTTAGGGAAGTACCCCTGTTTTTCTTCTTGTTCATACAGCTGGATGTTTGAGAATGATGTACAATGTGCAGAGTTTGACACTAGAAGGATGTTTTCAAATTCATCTTCTGAAAGTGGAAAGTTTCTCTGCGCTCACTGATAATCGGATTTTAAGGGGTGTGATGTAGAAACCTGAAACCACTAGCGCACATATACTGATAAAGGACTTTACAGTGAAGTAGGAGACATCTTGTGTCCAGCAGGAAACCAACATTTGCATATTCATAGATTCTGGAATTTTAAATGAGGTAGCAGGAGTAGAGGTCTTTTTAAAGATTTTATTGTGGAAATGATACTGTTTTTGTTGAAAGAACACATCAGGCACACATAAATGTTCTAATCAGACTATTTTAATACATCTCTGGAGGGGATCTTTAATATTTTGTAATCCAAAAGTACTTATTAATGTCTTATAACTGATATATATATATATAAAGCATTAGTAAATGGTGAATTAACCATAAATTCTCTATTAAGAATGCCACAGGACAAAGTTGTACCAGAATATGTGGATCTGGTTCTGTATTGTTTTTGCCCGCATTGTAACATTGACATCATAAATATGTATTATATGTATCCATGCACATCGTCCACACTTAAGCCTGCTTTAAATAGTCAATGCATTCCAAAGATTCCCAAATGTTCTTCCAGTTGAATCTCCATAACGCCTGTTTGACATAAGCATATCCAGGAGCAAGTACAGCAAATCCAAACTCCCCACATGTTGACAAAGATTTTTAACTCATTCACAGTCTTTCTCTAGTTTCTTCTTCCTCTGTTTACTGTGCACGACTCCTGGTTGTGTATTTATGCCACATTAAACTTAACAACCAAAGACAAATAAAGAGAAAAAATAGAAGTTTTGGTTTTAAAGGCCAATTATAATGAGTAACCACCTCTGTGTTCACTAGAGTGTATTCGTGGCCCTGGGCCACAGCCTAAATGGTGTCACAGTAATCAACTGTGATACCATTTAGACTGTGATCTACCATCCTTCTTTATAAATAACCTACTTCCCCCTCATGCACTTATTAAGACTATAAGCAAAAACACACTTATCTTAGTATTCTTAACTGCTAATTCACATGAAGATTACACAGTGTTATTCATAGTGATGAAATATAATTTGACAATTCTTGTTGTAAAACAGAGTTAATAAGGTTGGCACAACAGAACTGTTACAAAGTACCAATATAACAAAAGTAAGGCAAACAGTAATTAAAGCTTCACTTAAACACACACAAAAAGTACATAATTGGTGAGATTTAAATGTTTTAATAAATATATGTTTAGGTCTTCATGGTTAAGGCAGGGACTGTGTTGTTATATAAAAAAAAAACAGACAACATTCACAGTTATGCTTCGTCCTCTTTCTTATTAAAGATTTTTCCATTCGGTTGCTTCGTCCATCCCAGCATGGACTTCTGATATATCCCATGGTCCCTCATGTGTTTCTCTATCTACAAGACAGAATAAAACATATTGTGGACACAAATTTCCTGAAATAATGGTTAATAGTGCTGTCCCATAAGCTATTGTGTGTTTAACCCTAAATCATGGCAATGCACTGATAGTCAAAGCAATTTATTCATTTTATTTAACAAATCTACATGCGTAGGTTTCATACTGAAATTGGGGAGCTCAATTGAGGGAGTCTACTAGTTCTAAACTCTGGACAGTAGCTAGGACCATGATTTGGAACCAACCCGGATTCAAATCAGAACCAGTTCCTTATACATCAAAGTCTGTTTACAGGTGTTGGGGAAGATTTGGTCGAAGCATGCTTTCAGGTGTCAACAGGGGAGAAAAAAGTTTGTAATAAAAAAGACAATTCTCTTTAGTTCTGTTGTATCAATTTCAATCATTTAAAAGTTTTTCTCAAATCTGTGGAGTTTTAATTTAATGTCCAACCTATGAGTCAATAAGCTGTGCCTGAGCCTAACAACTATGCCTTTAAATATCAACATGGAATTGGTCCTTGCAGCTGAATTAACACTGTCCCACCACCCTAACAACAGTGTTTAATGGATAGATTCATATCTATTATTAGAACTTAAAAAAAGTGTAGACCGAAATTGGCTACAAATTGGCTACAAGTTTTTTACAGACATTCACGGTTCCCAGATGATGAATTCTTTGGTCATTGTTTTCCTCTAGCACCCCCCCATTAGGTTGCCATTTTAGATTTTTTTACTTAAATATGTCAACAACAATTGGACGGATTGTCATCAAATTTGGCAGAGACATTCAAGTTCCCCTCAGGATGAACTGCAATAATTTAGTTGATCCCCAAATGTTTTCATTTTGCGCCATCATCAGATCAACATTTTTATTTGTTCAATATTATATATTATTTATTATGTCCAAATACCTGCAAAACTAATGATCATTCCCATCAGCCTTAGCTTTTATTTTGTCTTAAATTAGCATGCTAACATAATAAACAAAGATAGATAGCATGTTAAACATTACAAAATTTATAATAAATATTTGTGAATCATCAGCAGTAGTATTGTCATTGTGCGCTGACATTAGAGTTTAGCTTTAAGCAGTGCTGTGCCTAAGTACAGCCTCACATACGTAGCTGTCAGCAGGGCTGTAGACTCTTGTTAATATTCAGATCACCCAGAAAAGGACTGAAACTTACATGGTTCAAAAGAGCTTCAGGCACTGGGGGGTCATTCAGGTCCACAGGTCCTTCAGCCTTCAGTACAACCTTGAACAGGTTCCTTATGGGAACTGCAGAATAAGGATAGAAGTGCTTTTAGTGCAACTATTTGTAGATACATCAAGTTAACATCTACAGAAACAGATCAAATACAATTTTGTAAGAAAAAGTAAACCAAACTTCTTCTGACAAATCAAATTGATTGATTGATTTTATTTGATAAATAAAAACAATACACAGACGTACATACAGTACTAAAATTCATTAGAATATCACAGTAGCCCTGAAGTCTAGGAGGCAGGCAGGAAAAGGGAGTGACACTAAATGCTACTAAATTCCCAATACACCCAATAAAAACATCAAAACTATGAAAATAATATTAATAATATTACTTAATAAAAAACTACCCAAGGTCTGACCCATCCTTAAGATGTTTCACTAGGCTAACTTAATCAGCATCCATTTTCACAGTTGTTTTTTGAAACTATTCAGAGAATGGGCAGATTTAATTTCATTTGGGATTTTTATCGTAATTTACAGTCACATAAACTGCTTATTTTTTTAGCTCTTTACCAGGTGATAATCTTACTGTTTCTAAGCACTCTCCACTTACAAACAAAGCTGAATCATGCACATTTAAAAAATAAGGAAATCAAGCTGCCAAATTGATCATTTACATTTTAAATTCAAATTTTGTTTGCATGAAATTTGAATGCTTACCTGAACAGATGAAGGGAATTTTCCTCCACCAGCAGTGGGCTCGCCATTGTTCCACAGTCTGAACGAAGCGTTACTCTGGTCAGACCACGTCCAAGTCTCTGTGGACAAACCAACCCACCAGGATGACTGATCAACCACACTGACGATGGCCTCCTTCTCTTGCTGGGTTCTCATGCTTGCCAAGTCTGTGTATCTCTCCCTGCAGTAACTCTGTGCTGCCGACCAGGTCATAGAAACCATAACTGCAATGTTCTTGTTGGTGGGCTCTGAAATTATACAGCATATCCACAAGAAAGATCACTAAATTGTGTAACATGGTGTGTGGAATGACTGACAGTTCTAGATAATTAATTAACACAACTAAATCAAAACTGAAATAAATGAATGAGTAATCGATTACATTCCAAACTGTGAAAAATGTTATGGGAAAGGTGCACACTCATCATCATAGCACACTGAGTTTCGTACAGCAGAACATGAGCGGTCATAGAGAATGCCATTAGTGAAATCTACACACTGCTCTATACCTCCGTAGTTATCCGCCTTAAAAACAAACCATTCTCCTAAGTCAGTGCTGCCGTCGCCGTAGAGATATGTATTGTCAATGGACCACCTCCAGCTCTTAATGTCATCACGAAGCCCTGTCCAGACAAGTCTGTCAGCGCTTTCCATTATTGTTCTCACTTTTGCCCAGTCCTCTACATTCTCAATGGTCGCCAGGTCAACAAAATTCTCTCTACAGTAACTCCGAGCTTCAGTCCAGGTTTTTAACAGCTATACATAGTGATATTCCCTAGAGACACCGAATGAAAGCTTCAATGGTGCTGAAAGGAAATAAATTCAGTGACTGTGCGCAGAAAAGATGTTCAAACATGTTAAGTGAGTGAATGTTAATCCATTAAATAGTACTGCGAATAATTTTGTACTAACCTAGAAGCAGCAAGATCACCAATCCTGTCTTATCCATCGCTGGTTTCCTGTCATATAAATCAGCAGTAATAACAATTGGAAAAAATGATGAGTTTGATCTTAATCTGCTCTCACCGTTCTCACTGATGTTGTCTTTGTCTATCAAGTGACTCATGTTCCTTTTAGCTCAGATTTTATGCAAACGTGTGCAAAGCATTGTGCAACATTTAACAAAAGCCATCCAACACAGGAGAGAAAGGAAGAACACAGAAGTCTGTAGATATCCTTTTCTTTAGCATTTCACAAATTATTACAATCCAGTAGCTGACTTATTTTCAGCCAAGCCCACTTTAGTTCACTACGTGGATTTTTTTTTTTCTCATGCCAAAACATGCAGTCTTATTTCATATTCTTTTCACCCTATTCTCTTTAAATTGTAGTCTTTGTGTGTTTATTAATAATGTGTGGGTAAAAATAGTGGGGATATTGGAACTAATATTGTATATGATGTTAGATTCTTCACACACGGCGGTACAACAGCTCACTTCCATCAACAACACCAATCCTTCTAGGCACATTACTGGACCCTGACACTGCCTCCGACACTACATCAGACACAAAATAAAAGTGTTCTGATCATCATTTAACTCTAAATGATCCTACGTGCCCACTCTGGAGTTATCATGGCTGGCACTTGGTACTCTCACTTGGTACTCTACCTCTGCAAGCCACTTTGCAACCCACCTCCACCCCAGCTACTCCTTTTATGCTGTATCTGATTTAATCAATGTCATTTCTGTTGCCATTGATGCTTGCTCTGTTCTATACCCTGGGGGGTCTTTGCTGCTGCTCTCCTTGTCCTAAGCTTTCCATGTATGCTCATGGAAGGGCAGGGAGGTCCCAGAACAGAGCCATACCGCCAAATATAACATTTTGTATTTGGAAATAAAAGTGGTCCTGACTGAACTTGAATTGCATTTCGTAGGGAACATTATACATTATATTTTGCTTTACACACCTGACACCTTGGCACTGTAGCCTCAGCTACCATACCTGTCTCACTGTCACCATCAACCATTCTGGCCTTTGTTCTGTATCTTCACTCTCAAGCCACAAGCTTGTTCTAATCATAAACAAGTTGCTAGGTTTGGCACATTTATTTAATTCTGGTCTTTTCAGCTCCCCCTTTTCTCTTCCTATCCTCCATTTTTATGTCTTGCATCTTCTACCAAGTACCCCCAAACTGCTTCTGGAAATTTAAAAATGAAAATATTTTGGATTATGTTATGCTGTATTCCAAGATGTTTTAATTTCTAAATGTCTTATGCCTCGCCTGATAGCCCTCCATATCGCTTTGTTCTGCTGGTGCTCTGAGATGTTTGTGATCTTTTATAGATCTAGGGATCTTTCATTTATGACAGCTCCAGCCTGATTTCTTTCCCATATACTATGTGATGAAACTGTATGCTACTACTATAAGGTGCTTCCATGTTTTTTCACCTTTTTCCTATATTTATGTTCCACCCCCTTTTCTGTGGTTCTTTGGGTTTTGTTACTATGGCTTCTATTGGTATGCCTCACAGTATTTGGAGACGACATTTCCCAAAAAGTGGAGCTTCTGTCACCAAGGGGAACACAGGTGTTTTGCATACTGCCAATGATTAGAATTAGTTATTTACATTTGCCTGTCCATATTTTGTATACTCTGATGAAGGTCAGATGGACTGAAGGCTTGCTAAATAAAGTGATACACTGCATAGAGTTAAGTGTGTGGAAGTCTTTACTAAGTTTATTTTACTTGAAAAAAGTCTCTCTCTCATGTGGACATCAGAGTAGACATCAGTTGACTGTGTATTAATGTAGTAATTATATTAATAGAATGGAACAGCTGGGTTTGATTGTTTAATTTATTTGAGTTGAGAATCTGATTTTCATTTCATCATTTAAATAATTGTTTGCATGCAGGCAAATTAACTTGCAAATTGTTGTTTTGTTGTTGTTTTTTGACTGCTTTCCCTGATTCAAATGCTATATGACCTTGAAGTGTTTAGCCAGTGCTTTGTAGGAGTAATCCAGTAATAACTGATCTGAAATCCAACCCTGTCGCCTCAAAATTATGTTTATATTCTACAAACGTATTAAGCCAAATACATTTTTGAGGAAATGTAATTGCTGCCTGGATTATGTTGACTGATGACATTCTTTTGAGTGATGGAAGTGCTGTACAGTTTTTTTTACTGCACACAAGTCACAGGGAGGAGGGGTCGATGATGGCTATGCAAAGGACAGGACTTTGACAGTGGAGATCAGGCTTCATGTCTTAAGTTGAGGTTAAAGATCGTAGTTTTGGTTAAATATTAATAAAACCATTCAGTCTCACGCTTCAAGTTAACTTTTTTTATATACTGTATACCCAAGATCACCATCTTTTCTCAAGTGCTTTGAGTGCCTAGACATAACTAGAGCTGCACGATATGGTAAAAACATCATATAGCTATTATTTTGACAGATACACTTAACACTAAAAAAAAAAAAAAAAATTGTGTTGATAAAAATATCAAAATATAACTGCTGCTGAAAATGACTATTGTATGAATGTTATTTCTAGGACACAACAACAGAACAGAGTTGTGACACTTTCATATGCTGATAACAGGTTACAGGCCATAAAGCAGGGGTCTTAAAGTCAAACTGGACGGCTACTACAACAAGAAAGCGCAATATTTGGAAAATATTTCCATTACTGACATCGTACTTAACAAAAAATGCAAACAGCAATTTCTACACATTTTTATGTTATCATTTCATTTCATCTTTGTCTGGGCAGTTTAAATTAATATGAAACAACTAGGGCAAAAAAAATTATCTTGTGGTCCGGATTATATTATATTGTTGACATCATGTCGCAAGCCGGAGGAAGGCTGGAAATCCCTGCCATAAGGGGTACACAACACATAGTTATTAACATGGATTGCTGTCAAGGACTTCTTAATCTTTGCACATGTGCATCAAAGCAGTGCCATACAAGGGAGGTCCAAACTCCAAAGACCTGAAACATCTGATATGGGCCCTACATGCTGCAGATTTCAAAACACTGTTCTCAACGTGGGGTTCCAAAGTTTTATGGAGGGTCGCAAGGCCTTCTTGATTTCAAGGGGTGTAAGAACACAACATTTATATAGTTGGCCTATATTTCATTAATGTGAAGAAGATTAAATTAAATTGTTATTTTAAAAGTTTGGATCATTATCTAAGATGTAAAAAAATAAAATAAAAACTCATAGGATAAGGGCACAATGAAGATCTGAACACAAGCTATATTCACAGAGCCTTCGCTCTATACTAAACAGCATCGTCCTGCATTACAAAAGTACGCAGTTAAAACAACCAGAAAGGTAATAGAACAATGGCCAAGTGTCAGCGAGAAGAAAATTGACAAGCTGAATTGGTTAAAAAAAAAAAAAAAAAAAGCCCATTAAGTATGTGTGATTGTTAAAAAGTAAAAAGAATACATAACACAGACAAAGAATTGTATAAAAGGTTCCTAAAAATATCAGTAGAACTCATCTTTGATCAATATTCATAGGAAATAATCTGCTCAAAATTCCTTGTTTTACACAAAATTCCTGCAGTTATTAGGTTCACTGTTTGGGTTCATTGTACAGTTTATCAGTTGTTCTGTACTGTTATTGTTATGCACTGAATATAATACTATATATTACTATCATTTAGTCAGGGGTCGTTAGTTTACGCAATAAAAGAAAAGGGGGGAAAGGGAACTGCTGCGTGTTGCTGAGTGTCACAGTGCAGTCTTTTGGGATTGTTAGTTTGAAATAATATTTGATTTATCCGTGGTATTATCCAGCATCTTGTAAATTGTATCAATTGTAATATAAATTACATCGCAACAAATGAAAAATATTGAAATTCCTGATATTATATGCTCATATACAAATTTTACACTTCACAATCTATACTGTACTGTAAACCTTCACAGCACTTTTTGATACATGTATTTGTTTGTTTGCCTGCATTTAAATGTACGTGTTAATGCATTTTCTGTGTGGGTGCCCGGGTGTATATGCAAGTTCTGGGCAGATTTACAAGGAAATTGGATTTTTACTTGTCCTTGGTAAAATATGCATGAGTAAAAAATAGAATAAAAACGAATCGATCTCCAAAATAACGCTCAAGCAGGGCCAAAGTGCATCCAGCATGCTTTACATATAAAGCATATCCATTTGAACTATACGGCAACTTAAAGTTTAGCGAATGAGAATAATTTCTTTGCTGAAAATGAACTGTGAGCGGTTTTTGGCTCACTCTTTTCCCTGCATCAGCTCCCCGCCAATTGTTTCTGGTGGCTAAAGCTTCTTATACTAAATTACTACAAAATCAAACCATTCCCCAGTCTTTGATTCTGTATATGATAAATGATTGATTATGGTCATTAGCGAGATAGAACAGTGGGTTCTCCTCTGCGCTCAAACTAATTGTGGTCTGCAAGGCTGGAAGTTCTTAGTGATCTGACTCAGGTAATTATGCCGCACTTTCATTTTCCCACTGAGGTCTTGCAAGAGTCTTACAGCGGCATGCTGAAATGACCTGGCATTACTGCTAATCTGTCCTCCAAAGCCACAGCTCTCCTTCTCTCTCCTCTAATAACATTCATTTGTTATCCTCTCCCTCACACTTTCAGCTGAAGAGAGATTCTCTCTGCGGGTATTAGCCTAAAGTGAGGACTGGAGGACACAAGTCATCATTAGAGTATCTCAATTGGGAGTAATCCAAATTCAAAGAAAAGGACAGTGGTGCAGGAAGGGATCTAACTCATAGGCCAAATCTCTCCTAACTACCACAGTGTGTCTGCAAATGTTGGGATTAGCTCTGAGAGGGCAAAAGCACAGTACATTACAACTTAGCCTGGGATCACAGCAAGCACGATGTATTAATGTGATCAAAGCTTGCAAATGTTAAAGGACTGTCTGTCACAGTAGTGATAATAAACATATTGGAGATTTTCCTTTCTGTATTGATGAATAAAGTAATGTTGTTTGTTTGTCATCAGTTTCCTCTACAGCTCAGCCACATGATCCTTGCATTAGAAATGTTTGTCCCATCAAAGCCATGTCATGTTTCTACAGTAGCGCAGAAAA